CTTACTCCGATCAACTGTGTTTTGCACCAACTTCGGGTTAGATGCCAATTCTTTCCTCACTTCTAGCCTAATGTTTGTTTTATCTTGGTTGCTGCAGTGTTTGACTTCCTTTACTGCTTCTTCTATTTTTTCCTTCTCCTTGGCCACTTGTGCATAAGTGAGTTGCATATCTTTCTTGCACTGTTCTATTCCCTGTGTAACTTCCTCCATCTGTGCTGACAAAAGCTGTTTCTCCTGTTGAATTTCCTTGCCTAACCTATTGTAGTCATTTATGTTTAAATTTACTTTAACTTCTTCCAAAGCTATTTTTAAGAGTTTATTTTCTTCTTCCATGGCTTTGCAATTTGTTTCCAATTGATTCTTATCCTTGCGCAAGTCTTTCACTAAACCCTCAAGACATAAAACTTTGCTATTCAAATGGTCATTACTTTCTTTCAATTTACTAATTATTTCTACATGAGAGTTCACTATAGTATCTAAATTTACCAACTTGTTATGTAGACTACTAATATCAATGCTTTCTTCATTGAATCCCTCAAAATCAAGCTCTGTTTTGTTTTTCCCCTTGCCAGTGGCCATCTTGAATGTTCTTCTCTGCACTGTAAACACTAGGGCAACTTTTTCTCATCCGATTTTTCACTTCCCTTAGCACTTTCCTGTTATCTCACCTATTTTTCAAGAGCACTATACCTTTATGTTCTCTGGGACACCACTCACTACCATCAACCTGTACTACAATACTTAGGATTGTTGAAATATGCTGGAGCTCCTCTGCTGCAAGTGTTGACCCTAGGGGTGTCACCTTTTTGTCAGGGGAGACAGGTGTTGTCAAGGAAGGCAGGTGGTGTCAGGGGAGGCAGGTGGTGTCAGTTGCTGTCCGGGGAGACAGGTGGTATCAGGTATTGTCAAGGGAGGCAGGTGGTGTCACGGGAGACAGGGGGTGCCAGGTGTTGTCAGGGAAGGCAGGTGGTATCAGGTGAGGCAGGTGTTGTCAGGGGAGGCAGGTGTTGTCAGGGTAGGCAGGTGTTGTCAATAGTGGGGGATGGTGTCAGGTGTTGTCAGTAGTGGGGGATGGTGTCAGAGAAGTCTGGTGGTGTCAGTAGTGATGGATGGTTTCAGTGGCCGGGGATGGGGTCAAGAGGAGTCTGGTGGTGGGGGATGGTGTCAAGAGAAGTCTGGTGGTCGGGGATGGTGTCAAGAAGAGTCTGGTGGTGGGGGATGGTGTCAAGAGAAGTCTGGTGGTGGGGGATGGTGTCAAGAGAGTTTGGTGGTGGGGGGATGGTGTCAGTGGTGGGGGATGGTGTCAGTGGTAGGGGGATGGTTTCAGTGGTGGTGGATGGTGTCAAGAGAAGTCTGGTGGTGGGGGATGGTGTCAAAAGAAGTCTGGTGGTGGGGGATGGTGTCAAAAGAAGTCTGGTGGTGGGGAATGGTGTCAAGAGAAGTCTGGTGGTCGGGGATGGTGTCAAGAGAAGTCTGGTGGTGGGGGATGGTGTCAAGAGAAGTCTGGTGGTGGGGGATGGTGTCAAGAGAGTTTGGTGGTGGGGGGATGGTGTCAGTGGTGGGGGATGGTGTCAGTGGTGGGGGATGGTGTCAGTGGTAGGGGGATGGTTTCAGTGGTGGTGGATGGTGTCAAGAGAAGTCTGGTGGTGGGGGATGGTTTCAAAAGAAGTCTGGTGGTGGGGGATGGTGTCAAGAGAAGTCTGGTGGTTGGAGATGGTGTCAAGAAGAGTCTGGTGGTGGGGGATGGTGTCAAGTGAAGTTTGGTGGTGGGGGATGGTGTCAAGAGAAGTTTGGTGGTGGGGGATGGTGTCAAGAGAAGTTTGGTGGTAGGTTGATGGAGTCAGAGAAGTGACTGATGAAGAAGAGCTGGCAGATTATTAACGACACCTAAAGGGCATGAAAGATATTATAATGAAGCAGCACACAACGAAGAAATAAACTAAAATTCAAAAGTTTTTGGTACGGTTTCACAGTAAGGCTACAGGACCAGTACTAGCAAGGACTCCATTCGTGAGTAAGGTGCAATTTTTCCTAATGCAAATGTGTCCTAGCATATTTATATTTTTTTTTTTTTGGGTGGGGGGGTAGAAGGTTGTTGGGGCTAGGGAAGAGGACCCTAGGTACCTGCAGCCTGAGTACTTGTGAAATAAATCTTGGCTCGCACACCGCCACTTAGACAGCACCACACCACAAGGTTCAGAACTGGAAAAACAGGAGCCACAGGTGCACGACCTTGGCACTTCACATTAGCTACAGAACTGAAGGGTGGATAGCCGGCATAAGGGTCTGGGGCTCCCCCTTCCTTCCGGGGAGGAGAGGGTTGAGCAGACAGTGGCAGGGCGACGTGGTGACATCATGCTCGTTTGCTTGTTTTCATTTGGGAAGTTCTGTCCACTGGTTCAGCTTTCAGTAGTAATATTTTAACCAGAATAGGGGTTTGTTTTGGGGCGCTTACCTTTTTGGGTGCCTGACCCGGTCGATGGCAGACATAGAAGGCTTCCAACCACATGAGGGGTTTCTATGGGCCATTGCTCCTCGTGCCTCTCTGAGGGGCCAGGTTCTGGCTCGTGGTCCCCAGTAAGCCTAGACCTCCATGCGCATTGACTGATGCCAGGGTCTAATACATTCATATCATCCCGGTTAGCTCCGGGGAGCCAAAGGGGCTCCCTCCAGAAACAAGTCTCTATGGAAAGGTTCTTAGTGAGACAAAAAAGCAGCTGAGCCACAACCAGATCCTAATGGTATGCAGGCAAAACATAGGGAAGAGAAAGTACCCCAGAGAAGTCATCACTTCCTAATGTTATAATGGAAGGGGACTCTCAAATACTAACACCTCCTCCCCCTCCTCACCGTCTTCCATACGCCAACAAGAGTCATCAATAATAGTAAGCTATAACTTGTACATATGTTGCGGTATCAACACCATTGCTGGAGTGTGGAATGGCGATTTTGGCGCCATTTGTGGACCTGCACTCCAACACCTAGGTATTAGGTGAGCTGCAAACAACACCATCTGTTGGCGGTAGTGTGGCGTCGATGAAAAGCTCCTGTTTCATACCTCGGTTAGAAGGTGAGATCAATGATGATGACCTCTGGTGGGTGGCATAATGATATCAATGCCATCTAGATTGTGCAGACAATTACAATGTCAGTTTCTCAGTGGAAGGGTTTTATCCTAAGGTCACCCAGTATACTGTCTGCCTAGCTAATGACATTTTATGTTCACAAAGGTGACGTAAGGAGGCGATTGTGCTGAGGAGGGTAGTTCACCTTGGGCAGTCCAGAACTCCTGACTTGGTCCTAAGAGAGGACAAAGTGGCTGTCATTAGTAGTAGCAGTGTGTTAGCTGCTGGATTTATGTAGTGTTGTACGGACCAACGTTCCGGGATTTGGCCAAGAGGAGTTACGAGACGACAGTAGTGTTTGCCTGCTGAGAAGTGCTGCTAGTGTGTTGCAAGAGACTCCTGCCAGGGTGTTAGCTACCCCCTGTATGTGATTATTTGAGAACCCTGTCAGCATGTTGCTAAAGCCCTCTGCCAGTGTGCTTCTGGAGAGCGGATGTAGGGTATTTGGATATCATGACGATACGGTGTGTGTGGACTGGCCCATGTTGAGGATCGTTGGTGATTACCATTGAGTGTTGATTACGTGTACATGGACGTAGTGAACTTATACCTGGATTTGATGAACACTGCAGATCTATTGAGTGTTGTGAGTGAAAGCGACACTGTGTAAATATATGTAGTAATACTTAGAGATATAATATATATATATTTGTGAAAATATATGGGTGAAGGTGTAATTGCGTATTGTTTATCCTCCTCTATTCCTTGCACTGTTACTTGCTACCGCCAATTATTGAAAACTTACCATCGACTTGGGGTTGGATCAGGAAGAAGAGATTATAAGACACGTTAACAGAAAGAACCCAGTTACTGGCCCAAGCTGGCCGTAACAACATACTGTACTATAGTACAGTACAAAATATTTGTGTTTATTAAGTATGAAATGTATTTTGAAGTTAATATTTTTGGGAGTTTGGAATGGATTAATTCAATTTACATTATTTCTTGTGGGGAAAGTCTGTTTTGGGTTATGAGCCGTCTCATGGAACGGATTAAATTCGTAAACAGAGGTACCACTGCATATGGTTCCGTGATGGTGTTACATTCATAAAGAGTTCATTTGGATCATCAATCTACATTGTGTTCAGGGTTCACTGAAAACAGAATCATACTGTAACCTTAGTATTTCACACATTTCTTTGCTGTCATCTGTGAATGTTCCATCACCCTTTCATAAGGGCCCAATATAGGATGCAGTTTTTGCTCTAGATTTTGCATACAAGAAAATGTATTTTGGATTTCTCTCAATATCACTTATGACCTTTTGTCTCTACCTGGATTTCATATGATCCTTGCAACTTTAGCTCAATTGTATCAATATGACCTGGCAAGACTGAAAATAGCCTTGCTTTATTTGTGCAAAATGTTGTCTTGTGGATGTGTATGATAACAGCAGGCATTTGCCTAAGGAAGCAAATGAATTTCCTGCTAAAACAAAAACTAAAATTCCATATACAGTACATTCAAATCTTGATTTATTATTTTCATTCACTTTCTGGAAATGAACTTAAGAATGACTTATTAGATTTGTGCTAAAGAACTTTGACACTAATATCATCCAATAATAGTGTTCTAAATTATATGTAGAGAATTATTTGAATGTTTTATTTTTCATTATAATGTTAAGACTAACATTGGTGTCAGTAGCTTTTGTCATAACTTTAACAGCATAACCAAACTGCTTTAGATTTGATATCTTTACATAATCCCAAGAACATATACTGTATATATTTTGAGGGACGGTAGGGTTGTTGTCCACTAATGGCAGTTTTAGACACTTGATGGAAACAGACATCTCAACAAATCTGTTGAATCTCTTCATGTTTGATAAAAATCCTGTAACTATAATTTAAATTTCATTTTGTTTCCTTACAGGCTGGTCTCATTGGCGAGTTATTTCACAAATTTCAGTGGTGTATCCTTGTGGTAATAACTTATTTAGGATTATCAATTGGCCTACACTCCTGGTCATTAGAAAAACAGTGGCAGAAACCTGAGGTATACATTTGGACTCATGGGATGGTTTCTCTGTTCACCATTCAGAGAGTAGGTAAGTCAGAATTATATTACAGTACAGTGCTGTATATATAAAAAAGTAATAATTAAATTTTGGTTTAAAAAATAATTTATCAAACACACTTAGCTGTTCTTAAATGTTATCATCAGTATTTTTACAAAAGAAATTGTATATAATTCTTTCAGTCTCACCTGTTATGCAAGTAATTGAGGCTTTCTTAACCCCTCAACTGCTCAACTTCCAAATATGACACCCCCCCAAGTGCGCAGGAAATAAATTCTCTGGAAAAAATTATTTTTTGTTTTGAAAGTGTCAAAAACCCTTCTCTGAGTATGGGTATAGTAACTGAAAGTTGAAATTGTACTTAGGGTCCGTAAGTTGGCGAGTGACGTCATCATTCCCCATTCGCCTGTGGCGTACGCTCCCAGGGCAGGATGCACGCGCTGCCGCGAATATATTTTGTTAATTTTTTGTGCACAGTTCCAAATACATTTTATTTGTTTTTACGTGCCAATCCTATGTATAATGAAGACGTTCACTATATTATGGCAGTAGAACATCCGTAGTGTCTGAAGACACTGTTACGTGCATGACACATGTGTACACATATCAGACACATATTCCCAATGTATCATGCTAATTTATGTATATATACAATCTATTTACACACTGTACAGTATGACAGTATGGCAAGTTTTGTGAAATATATGATAAAGGCACAAAAAAATTTATACCAAAACAGAGATGCAGAACTAGGAAACAGGATTGGTTCAATAGAAATTGCGAGAGGGCTAGAGACCGAAAGACACAAAAATGGAATCAATACAGGAAGAGGCCGAACCCCCAAACATACCAGCGATACAAAGATGCGAGAAACAACTACACGGCAGTGAGGAGAGAGGCAGAAAGAAATTTTGAAAAAGGGATTGCGGACAAATGTAAAACAGAACCAGGTCTATTCTATAAATTCATAAACAACAAATTGCAGGTAAAGGATAATATTCAGAGGTTGAAAATGGGAAATAGATTCACGGAAGATGAAAAGGAAATGTGTGAAACACTAAACGAAAAGTTCCAAAGTGTGTTTGTACAAAATGAAATCTTTAGGGAACCAGATACAATAAGAATTCCAGAGAACAACATAGAACACATAGAGGTGTCTAGAGACGAAGTGGAAAAAATGCTCAAGGAGCTCGGTAAGAACAAAGCAGCTGGCCCAGATGGCGTTTCACCATGGGTTCTGAGAGAATGTGCATCTGAGCTCAGCATTCCACTTCACCTGATCTTTCAGGCATCCCTGTGTACAGGAATCGTAGCAGACGGGTGGAAACAGGCTAACATAGTTCCAATCTACAAAAGTGGCAGCAGGGAAGACCCCCTCAATTATAGACCTGTATCATTGACAAGTGTAATAGTGAAAGTATTGGAAAAACTAATCAAAACTAAATGGGTAGAACACCTAGAGAGAAATGATATAATATCAGACAGACAGTATGGTTTTCGATCTGGAAGATCCTGTGTATCGAATTTACTCAGTTTCTATGATCGAGCCACAGAGATATTACAGGAAAGAGATGGTTGGGTTGACTGCATCTATCTGGACCTAAAAAAGGCTTTCGACAGAGTTCCACATAAGAGGTTGTTCTGGAAACTGGAAAATATTGGAGGGGTGACAGGTAAGCTTCTATCATGGATGAAAAATTTTCTGACTGATAGAAAAATGAGGGCAGTAATCAGAGGCAATGTATCAGAATGGAGAAATGTCACAAGTGGAGTACCACAGGGTTCAGTTCTTGCACCAGTGATGTTTATTGTGTACATAAATGATCTACCAGTTGGTATACAGAATTATATGAACATGTTTGCTGATGATGCTAAGATAATAGGAAGGATAAGAAATTTAGATGACTGTCATGCCCTTCAAGAAGACCTGGACAAAATAAGTATATGGAGCACCACTTGGCAAATGGAATTTAATGTTAATAAATGTCATGTTATGGAATGTGGAATAGGAGAACATAGACCCCACACAACCTATATATTATGTGAGAAATCTTTAAAGAATTCTGATAAAGAAAGAGATCTAGGAGTGGTTCTAGATAGAAAACTATCACCTGAGGACCACATAAAGAATATTGTGCAAGGAGCCTATGCTATGCTTTCTAACTTCAGAATTGCATTTAAATACATGGATGGCGATATACTAAAGAAATTGTTCATGACTTTTGTTAGGCCAAAGCTAGAATATGCAGCTGTTGTGTGGTGCCCATATCTTAAGAAGCACATCAACAAACTGGAAAAGGTGCAAAGACATGCTACTAAGTGGCTCCCAGAACTGAAGGGCAAGAGCTACGAGGAGAGGTTAGAAGCATTAAATATGCCAAAACTAGAAGACAGAAGAAAAAGAGGTGATATGATCACTACATACAAAATAGTTACAGGAATTGATAAAATCGACAGGGAAGACTTCCTGAGACCTGGAATTTCAAGAACAAGAGGTCATAGATTTAAACTAGCTAAACACAGATGCCGAAGAAATATAAGAAAATTCACCTTTGCAAATAGAGTGGTAGACGGTTGGAACAAGTTAAGTGAGAAGGTGGTGGAGGCCAAGACCGTCAGTAGTTTCAAAGCGTTATATGACAAAGAGTGCTGGGAAGACGGGACACCACGAGCGTAGCTCTCATCCTGTAACTACACTTAGGTAATTACACTTAGGTAATTACAAGTGTCAGCTGCCACACCCAGCCAGCCAGTCCTCCCTCACTCCTCCAACATCGTACTCGCCATCACCCCTCCTCCCACCATACTGTTATTGTTTTTATTACACTATTAACGTATGTATACCTATGTATGTGTTTTATTCACCAGAACTAAGCAAGTAAGCCGGTATTGTGTCCAAACAGTACAGTGGCCACCATACACTGCATGAGAAATCACACAGCAGACAGCAGAAGACACTACGATTACAACGTCACCTCCCTCACCAAAATAGCTTCTCTCAACATACTCTTGTTGCCGTTATTACACTATATACACACATTATATATACCCATGTACATATGTGTTCACCATAGCGGACCACTAAGCTAGTATGGTGAACAAAACAAGAGTGGCTGTCACACACACAGTGAGGCTACCTCGATTACTATGCACAGCGCTGATTATCTAATAATTATCACCACAATCCTGCTATTATCACAATCCTGGTCACTTGTTCCTGTAAATGAACATTTGATCACAAGTTTATTTTGTAAAGGAACCTAAGAAGTCATTTGAAGAGTCCTAGATGGACGAAATAATACTGTGGTACTGTGGCTAGTGCTGTGAACATCGTGAACAGCATTGAATCACTGATATTTGAACATTGTACACAGTCATTATCACACTCCAGCTCTTCTCTAATACTATCATGGCTAAATAATACAAGTTATATATATATGTTGACATTATTAAGCGATGCTGTGGTCACAAGCTGAACAGCAGTGCTGTGGTCACAAGCTGAACAGCAGTGCTGTGAGCTCATGCTGTATGTGCCGGCCTTGGTTCCTCACTCAGTACTGAGGCTCTCACACCCGGGAATGTGGACCATAATTTTTTTTAAAGATGGCGTCTGTTTACAAGAGCCCTGAGGAAAATTATGTGAACCCCATGTAGCTGCGGGAGTTTTGAATAGAACGTGAAAAATACAAATACCCGGAGGCGCGTTTTCATTTGTCTTATATCAAATGGTTCATTCAGTGTTCGGCAGGTAGGCTGCTCCATGTTTTGTAAAAAAAAAAAAAAATGAAAAATTTTGAAACAGAACAAATGTCAAAAAGGTTCGCTCGGTGTTCGACAGGTAGGCTGCTTCATGTTTCTTAAATATAAAAAAACGAAATCAAAAATTAAAAATTTCAAACCACAGAACAAATGTCAAAAAAGGTTCATTCGGTATTTGGCAGGTAGACTATGCTCTATGTTTCTTAAATTAAAAAAAAATAATAAAAAAGTTGAAAAAATTTGAAAAACGGACAAATGCCATAAAAAGGTTCGTTCAGTGTTTGTAAGGTAGTTTGCTCCCTTATGACAATCTTTCTTTGTTTCAAATGTGTTCCATTTGTTTTCTATTTTTCATTTACGTCTCAATAATGGAGCAGACTACCCGACAAACACTGAACGAACCTTTATGGCATTTGTCCGTTTTTCAAATTGTTTAAACTTTTTTTTTTATAAGAAACATGGAGCAGCCTACCTGCTGAACACCGAACGAACCTTTTTGACACTTGTTCTGTGTTTCAAAATTTTTCATTTTTTTTATTTATTTTCTGGGGGGAGCCCCGAACGGCTCCCCAGAGCTTTCCCAGGCTGATATGCTAATGTCAGACTTTGGCATCAGTCATGTGTATGGAGTTCTTAGGCCTACTGGGGACCATGGCCAGAATCGGGCCCCCTCAGAGAGGCAAGGGGAGCAATGGCCTATAGAAACCCCCGTGTGGTTGGAAGCATTCTATGTCTACCATCGACTGGAACAGGCACCCAGAAAGGTAAGCACCCCAAAACAAACCCCTATTCTGGTTAAAATTGTTACCAAAAGCTGAACTAGTGGATAAAACTCCCCAACAGAAACAAGCAAAATAGTGTGACGTCACACGTCGCCGCACCGCTGTCTGCGCATTATCCCCCCCTCCCTGGGAGGGGAAAGGGGGTGCCCCAGACCCTCCACGCCGGCTACCCACACCTCAGTTCTTGAGGCTGATGCTATAGGCGAAGGTCGTGTGCTCTGGCTCCGGTGTCACTACAGCACTGTGCTTTGCGTGTGGTGTATGTTTTTGTGGGTGCGAGAGCCAGGACTTATCTTCAGTACTCGGGCTGCATGCACCTAGGGCTTCCTTCCCTAGGTGCCCTGTAAGTACTGCCCTTGAGGCCTGGGGGCCACCTTCCACAGGCTCCTCGGGGTCTGCCTCTGCTGGTCCGTTTTACCTTTTCGGTTTTTTGGCCGGCTGTTGGGCTCTTGGGTGTTCTGTTCTCCCTTGTTATCGGCAGGTAAGAGG